AATGCCAAATTGAAAGGCTACTACCATATCCATTGAACACTTAACAATTTTCAAGGACTAAATGATCAAAAAACCTAAATAATGGAAAATATAGCTAGCTAGGTAGGCCATTGTATCATAATTTCTTCTTCTTGTAGTCATGAAAAAAGATGTTCAGATAATGTTGTCAGTCCATGCAGCGAAAACCGGCACATGAGGCCTCAGCTGCGCCGACGAGATCCAAGAACTCGTGCTGCTACTCGTCGCCGCCGCCGATCCCATTCCGACGGTGTTCATCTTGTCGGGGCTGCATTCCCGGGAGCTCTCCACGCTGGTTACCAGCGAAGAAGCGTTCGACAAGTGAGCGCTCATCAGCGTTCTCGCCGCCGATTCCCCCAACCCGAAACACGCCGACGAGCTCTGCGGCGGCGCCGCCTCCGCCGTCGACTGATAAAGCGCTATTCTCCAGTCCGGCGCGGCGCCGCCGGCGTTTGCATTATCCTCCTGATGAACGCTCCCGTGATCGCCGCCGCCGTTCTGGTTTGGATTCTTGGTCACGACCTCAATATTACTAGGCGGCGGTCCGGCGTCCTTGTTCCGGCGGGCCTGTTCCCCGGCGAGGAGATTGGTGCTCGCCATTATCCGGTCAACATCGTACCTGGAAATGTCGAAATTCGTGACCGCATTTACGCCTCTAAACTTAATCGCTGCAATGTCATACGCCTCAGCTGCTTCTTCTTGGGTGCCTAAGCGAAGAAAAAAACAGCTTTTTTTTGTTAAAGAAGTCAGCACCAAAAACACGACAAAGAATAATGGAACGTATAGAAACAGGATAAAAAGAGAAATAAACAAAGAATTTTCACCCATATTAATAATCTGCAGAAGAAAAAAATAAAAATAATAATAATAAAAAGAAAAAGATTCCCATATTATCAGCCTTATACATAAAAGCAAAGCCTTGCTGACAAACGGTCCTTCACCACCTCATCGTGGCTCGTGTTACGTACCACCGTCTAAAATATCCAATGCACCAAACTTTAACATTAATTATTTGTTTTCAAAAAAACATTAGTTATTTATTTTGTTGGTGCCTGTGTTCTATTGACCAAAACTAGAAAAATAATTGTGTAAAATGAAGCAAATTAAAGAACAAAAATGCAAATAAGGCCTATAGGTTTATGTCTGGGAGGAGTGTACTCACTGAATGTTCCTAGATAAAGATCCTTGTTTCCAGCCACTCTTCCAATCCTAGCTTGCCATCTTCCATGTTGATGATGCCTGCTAAAAGAAAGAAGAAAAAATGGAAACACAAGATTTTAAAGATGTAAAAACTTACATGTTTTGCTAATCCATTTTCTTTGATTAATGGGTTTTTGAGCTTTGGTATAATAATAATTTATTTTAACCAGAGAGACCCGGTCTTGTTATCCTAGCCGTCAAAAGACCTTAAGTAGATAAACTTAACCAGTTTATCTGACTGGTTCAAACCAAGAGGGCCAATACGTCGCTCTCATTGGGAGTCGAAGTTGTAACCTTTTGGTATAATAATTATGTAATTAAGTAATATCAAGACCTTGTTACTCCTCTGTAAATTGAAGCTCCCCTGGAGAAACCACTGCTCTTTCTGGCAAAAAAAAATCAGCAGAAAACATGAATCAGAACATCCAGAAAAGAACCAAAACAAATGAACAAGAGAGAAATCTAAGCTATACCTTCTTAAGTGAGCTACATATTCTTGCCTAGTCATGTTCTTCATATCTTCAAGCTCTTGCTGATAGTTTTCAGACTGCATTCAAACCAGTATTTCACATATTCTTACCTTCCAGAATTCAAAAATGGCAGATAAACATCAATACTACACAGAGGATTCATTCAATGATACCGAAAAGTTTATATGTGTGGAGGGTCCCCAGTATTTGAGTGCAGCTAAATCATATGCCCTTGCTGCCTTTTCTTCATTGTCATAACCCCCTAAAACAGTGAGACTGTGAGACTTATTATAGCACATTAAAAACTACTGATTACTCTCTAATGTGCAGGAAAAAAAATGGAATTTTGACAGTCAGGGAAATCTGTTTTTACCTAGGTAAACTGAAATCATTTGCATCCCCAACAGTGATGATGGAAGAGAAAAAGGGAAACAAAGTTATGTGTTAGTGAAATGAGTAAAATTTATATAAGAAATGTGTAAAAAGTTTTAATGATCATAACCTTGTCTTCCCTTCCTGCTCTGTCCTTCTTTCTTACAACTGTTGTCCCATAAATGAGCTTCATATCTGCCAGTCCACCTGTGCCTGATAGCCATCATTGCAATTTCATAAACTCTATTAGTCAAATAATCCTAAAACATTGCCCGCAAAGGCGAAATCTTTGGCCCCGGGCTCAGCAACCCATTAGGTACGAGGATCATGGCCTGGTGCCCACCAAGACCAGGGTCTGGTGACTTAAACATTTTGACAGCCGGGGATCGACCCTGCATCCTTGGCTAACAATCTGCCACCTAAGAACCAGCTGAGCTATCCGTGTGAGACAAATAATCCTAAAACATTGCCCGTAAAGGCGAAATCTCTTGCACCGGGTTAAGATCATTAGGTACGAGGATCAGGGCTTGGTGACTTCCACATTGTGGAAGTCGGGACTCGACCCTGTATCCTTGCTGAACTAAGAACCAGCTAAACTATCCGTGCGGGCCAAATAATACTAAAATAGAGAAGCAAAGAGGGAGTTTGAAGTAGGTTTTGGATAATCCAACATTCTAACCTGGTGACACCTCTGTACTGTGAGGTTCTTTGGCCAAAGGTGTCAATGGACTTCCTATGAACAATCTGCTTCTGTTCCACCTTTTCAAGCCCTCTCTTCTTGGTCTCCATGGCCATACAGTCTGCAACAGTGGGTGGGATTTGGTGGTGCTGTGTGGGATTCACATTCACATTCACACAGCTTGACTGTGAACCAGGGCTCATGGACAAGCTGAGAGAGTGAAAATCCCCATACCCCATTGCAGTAATAGCCCCAGGCTCTGCATCCATGCACCCCATCATCTTCTGCTGCTCCAATGCAGCATGCCCACCACCTGCACTGTAGCTTCTTGAATCCCAGTTCTTCATCTGGTTATTATCCTCCATGCTTGGCACCTCAAGGCTGCCACATTGATGAGCCTTCCCCTGCCCCTGCTGGTAAATCTCAGGCCCTCTCAGTTCCCCAGTGAAATCTTGGAACTGATGATGATGGTGCCTGGACTTTTGTTGAAGATGGGTGAGGAAATCTTGACTATGGGTGGCCTCATTTTCTGGGTTTTGGTTATGGTAATACATGCTATCCAAGCTAAGAGCCATACCCCCTCCTCCAGTTCTGTCATAGTGATGGGTCCCCATTGCTGCATCCCCAAAGAAGTCCTCCAGTTTTGGGGCCAAACCTTCACAGTAAAAGTCAAAACAGAGAGAAGAAAGCTAAGAAACAAAGAAACAAAGAAAGAAAGATTCCATAACCAAAAAACATTAGTAAAGAAACCTTGTGGGTGTGACCTATTGTTGAAGGCCTCCATTATGCAAAGTGAGCCATCAGACTTTAAAGGCATCACAGACAATGAAGACAAGAATGCTGCATTTTCAGTCTGATCACCTCCATAGTAACAACTCCCCCCAGTGGTGTTATTATAGTTGATGTGAGATGGAGCAGCCTGGGAAAAACTTAGAGGAACTGAAGCAGAAGAAACAGAAGAGGAACCATGGCCATGGCCATGGCTGCCCTCCATGTTATTCATTTGTGGAGACAGTGAAAACCCCAACCAGTTACTATTACCATCATTACTCAGAGAGTTCATTTCTCTATCTATCTTAGAAGAAGAAGAAGAAGATCACAGCAACTCAATCATTGGGACACAATTAAAAAGAGAGAAACAATCATAACCCAACAATCCTTTCTTGTTTGAATTCCCACCATTCTGAAAACTGGTTTATATATCTAAAAACTCACTGAAACAATACATACATACATAGATACATTCTCTCTCTCTCTCTCTCTCTGGAAAGACTTGGAAACAGATCAAAGGGAGTGCCTTTAAAGTAAACAAAAAGAATGAGTTCCAGCAAGCAATGCCGGTCATCATTCCTGCATTCCATAGGGATCTGTGTTTGAGAAAGACATCTTCTTTTGCTTTTCCAATCCACTCCACTACAATATTTGCTCCCCTCCCCTCTCCCTTTTCTTTTCCTTTTCTCTTTTCTGCTGCTCCTGCTTGCAATGTTGTGTATATATAGATTATATATATGCACTAGATATACATATACACTACTGTAGTCTATACTGTGTATGTATTTGCACTTTGCAGCCACTAAACAACAAAACTATGCACTTCCCAAACACCTCTACCAGGGTCCAAATTAAAGCATGTAGAATCAAGAAATGTGGGATGTTTAATCCCCAGAAAAAGAAAGGGAAGGACAAAGACTTATACTACAAATTAAACAACTGTACTACTATGGTTTTTGTGTTCAATGGTGATTCCATTGAATGGTGGCAGACTGGGCAGCTGGGGAGAGAGTGTTCACTGTGTATATACAGACTACATAAATTTCAATTTTTTTTTTTTTTTTAGACATCCTGCTCTTAGTCAAGAAGCACAGTAAAAGTTTCACAAGATATATCAATCAATTAGCTGTTTGGTTTTTTAATTTCTTATTGGGAATTTCATTTCTTGCCCACAGAAAGCGAAATCTCAATAGTTCAATGGTCACCCTGAAAGTCTTGCTCCAGCGGCAAGGTGGGAGTTCAATTCTCACTGAAAATATGTGATGAAGACTCCATTTCTTGATCTTTAGATTTAGATGACAGTCAAGAGGCTTAAGATTAATCTAGCGTAAATTGAGAAATCACTTAACAGGATTCTGAATATAAGGGATAAATTATGGTAACTCATATATCCGGGGGATTATATTTCATATTTTGATCTTTAGATTTGGATGAGAGAAGGTGGTGAGCAGCTAGGTTTCACAATGGCACAAAGACAAACTGTCCATAGTCACTAAACAGGCTGTACTTGAGGCATATATAGGACTGTGTACTGCACCTATTATCCCTTCTTTCAACATGTAGCCACCCATCACCTAATTGACCAAACTAAGTAGGGATTTATTTTTTTTTTTTTCTTTAGAGTTGAAGTTTCAAACAAAGATATAGTTCACACGACGATGATATTATGACCGATAGCAGAAACTTTAACTTAAATTTAACAATTATGAGATTTGAAACAAGTTAGATTGATGCATTATTTCCCCGAGAAAGGACTGAACTTAACAAATCCCAATAATATTGCATGCAAATTTGCATGAAAAGGGAAAAATGGGGACAGATTTTCCAGTGAAAATGATTTGGGTGGTAATGGCAATAAGATGAGAGAAGGTAAGGTGGGAATGTGGGAAGAGAGAGCTGACCCCCTTTTGATTGAAGTAATGATGAGTAAATCCCAGAAGGGGCCAATTTCGTCTTGCCCAAAATAGTGCATTTATGGCCTTATTGAAAAAAAAAGGGGGTTTTGTTTACTATGCTTTGCCCCAGCAAAAACTTGCTTTCTCTCATTCTTTTCCTTTCATTTCATTTATTTATTCATTCTCTCCTCAACCCTTTAATTTGCTTGTGGGAAACAGATTGGGACATGTATCCATACTTTGGCCCTCCAGCCTCCATTACATCTCTTCTTTTGCATGTATATATAGTATAATATATAGATATATATATATAGACATGCTTTAAAACATATATAGGGTCCGGTCAAAGATCCTTTTCTCTGCAATGCTTCTTCCTTCTCGTATTCATTACCATGCAGAATTGTGAATATTATCCGTTACACTTTATGCTATCCATTCAATTAATAATGAAATATGATGATAAAATATTGAGTGTGAAATAATTAGTCTAATAACTCAATTCAACAAACAAAAGTATTAGGCCTAGTTAATTAACTAAGTAGCCCAAATTGAAGCCCCGAATCTAATGGCATGTGTACGTGTCACGCTGCATTATTAGCAGTCATTGATGCTGGGATAATTGAAATATTAATAGTTTGACAATGTGTCTTAGGCATAACATTTTACCCCATCTTACCTATTGAGATGTTATGGAGCAGTAAGCGTGAAGCCATCACTGCAACACAACAAGTAATGCATCACTTGGAACTTTCAACTGGAAAAATAAAAAATATATTATTTATGTACATAAAATATATTATTTGAATACTGAAAGTACATTATTTTATATATTATTCAAATAACGTGTATGTACTTTTAATAAGTATAAAAAAAAAATATTTCATACAATAATAAAGGGAAAAACATTAATACCATGTAGTTTCTTGCGACTTGTCATCGAACGTGGCATTAAGGTGTGCGTGGCGAAAGCCTATAGATTTCAAAATTCAAATCAACTTTGTTTATTTTTTTAATATTTTTAAATAATTAATTTTTTGGAGAGTTAATACCCAAAATAGTCCCTCGACTATGTCGTAATTACCAATTTGGTCCTCGACTATCATTCTTACTCAATTAAGTCATCAACTATACAATTTTTACCCAATTTAGTCCTTTGTCAATTTGACTGTTTGTTGACTGTCAAAAGTGGAAATAAAGTTGTAATTTTACAAGTTTTCTCCTTCCTCCTCATTTAGCAGCGCCAAACCATGTAGCAATAAGCTCCGGTTGGGTTCTAAACCTGTCAGTATCGAAGTAGTGGTTATGCATCGGATAGCCCATGAATTTGATTTCCAACGATTTTTTGACGATCAAAATCTGATCGGAGTGTATTGCTGCATGGTTTGGCGCTGCTAAATGGAGAGGAAGGAGAAATCTTGTAAAATTATAATTTTATCCCGACTTTTGACAGTCAACAAACAGTTAAATTAATACAGAGGACTAAATTGGGTAAGTATTGTATAGTTAAGGACTAAATTGGGTAAGAATTGTATAGTTGAGGACTTAATTGAGTAAAAGTTACATAGTTAAGGACTTAATTGGGTAAGAATGGTAGTTGAGGACCAAATTGGTAATTATGACATAGTCGAGGGACCATTTTGAGTATTAACTCTTTTTTGGATGTTTGATTCTATTTTTAATGTAGTTTCTAAAAAGAAAAAACCCTAATTCTCTTGAAACCTCTCTTTTTATCTTACAAAATCTTGCTTCTTTTTTAGACGTTTCTTCATTTGGTGGCCGCCGGCCTCTGGCCGAAGCTTTGTTTCTTGTCCGGCGGTCTCCTGTTTTGTTTTGTTTTTTTTTTTTTTTTTTTTTTTTTTTTAGTTTCATAATAAAGTCTAGTGCCCATTCAGCCACCAACCCTTCAAGGAAGTTGCGGTAGTTCCAAAGATCTAAAGCTTTAGGATTCCGTCAGATCCGGATAAAGAAGTGGTTTGATTCCCGTGGATCCGTAAAATAAAGTTCAAGAGGTGTACTGTTGCTTCTCTTTTCTTTTGTGTTCTGTTTTTTTCTGTGTTTTTCTCTCGTTTGTGTGACGAGTTTGTTTTCCTCTTGTTTCTTTTGGCGAGTTCTTTTCTTCATAAGTGTGAAACATATAAGTTGGTCATGGCGTATGTGAACTTTATCCTGGGTGACAAAGATGACAATGTAAAAGAACATATGCATCTCAGCTCGATGAATATATTGTTAATGAACGACAGATGGAAAACATATACTCAGGTGGTGTGCAAGACTTTTCAACCAAAGTTAGTCTTGATCGACTACGTTTGATCAATTCTTCAATGATATTAAAGAAGCGTTAAATTCATCTAACAAATTCAGCTTCAAATTTGTGAAACAATTTGCGATTCAAGTTCTTTTGTAGCATTGCTAGGGAAGTTGTTTCTATGTCTGAATTAGACCTAGGGTATTTGATTTTTTTTTTGAGTGTATCATGGCTTTCACTGTCGAACACAATGACTAATTCCCTCACTGAATTGTGTACACCTACACAATGACTAATCCCCTCGTTGAATTGTGTGCACCTCTTTTGGATAGGACAGCTAACCGGGAGATTTAAGGTTACTCCATACTCAAAGTCGAGAATCAAATCCTTATCTTTTATTTATAATGAATGAGTCTCTCCCATTCCATCACAACCTCCAGGATACTGGTATTTGATATAGAACCAAATGCACCCTTACATCTGACTGAAGTAACGTGAAGAGATTATTCTGGTTGTGAGCTGGATTTTTGCTGAAATTTGAAATGCTATCTCTCTCTCTAGTCTCTACCCATTTTGATTTATTAATAATAAAAAAATAGCTTATTAGTCATAAAAGTAGCGGTATGGGCATGGTGCAGCTTGCAGCCTAGATTCCAAAACAGATGTCAAAATCAAGCCTGACAATAATTCCGCCATGCAAAATAAAAGTGGGTACAACACTACTGTATCTATGTATGTATGTTGTTCATAGCAACAACATATCAGAAATGTAACAAGAGAATACAAACAATATAAATATATAATATGCTCTATCTTCGCCACGCTTATAGTACTTTTTTGTATGATCCAATTCCAATTAAGATCATATAAACACCTTCCTCTTCAACTTAAACCTACTGGACATAAACGCATCCCTGCCCCAAACCGGACACCACGACAACAACCTAAACAGCCCCGACATGTGACCAAACTCCACCCGTTTCGGCACCTTCCCACTCAAAACCTGTCCCGCTACGTGCCTCGCTAAAAACCTCGCTTCTGTGGCTTTGCCGCCCTGGGACGCCGTTGCCCGTTCCGCTATCGACTCCGTGAATTCCTTGTACATTTTCCACTCCATGTTCCTTAGTTTCTCCGAAGCGTTGGCCCCGAAATTCGACCGGACCGAGCCGGGGATCACTAGGATTACGTCGATGTCGAAGGGGCGTAACTCGAGCCGCAACGTGTCAGTCATCGCGTGAACCGCGGCCTTGCTGGCGCAATACGCCCCCGCCCACGGCGTCGCCACTTTCCCGACCACACTCCCGATGTTCACGATCTTCCCGCGCCGCCGCGCCGCCATGTGCGGGACCACGTGCTGGGCCACGCGTAACGCCCCCACCGTGTTGATCTCGTAGGCCTTCAGGAACTGGTCGATCGGAATCTCCGCTAACGGCCCGGTGATTCCCACGCCGGCGTTGTTAACCACCACGTCAATTTGACCAAATTTCGACATTATTGTATCAACCGCACACCCCACGCTCTCATCCGACGTCACATCTAACTCCAACGTTTCAATATTATCCGACCGTAAATCCGACAAATCGCTTGTTCTTTGGGAAATGTCGGACGCGAAAACGTGACAATCGTGGTCGGCAAACGCCTTGCAGTATTCGTAACCAATGCCGCCTTTGGCACATCCTGTGACTAAGACCACCCTTTTGCCTGCCGCCATTACTGTCCTCCTTAATTAGCTTAAAGCTCTGATCTTTCGTTTGATTTTCTCATCCATTTTAACTTATGGTAGCTTATAAGTTATAGTAGGACATGTTTGAGACCGTGACATGCATACTTAGGTTGTATTATCCGCCATTAATAATTGTTTTCTTACCTAGTCCCTAGTATTTCTAGGCACGGTTCAGTATATGCTTCGAATCATTCCAGTATATACCATCGCTTTAAGCCGGCTAATTTAATTTCAATAAAATTTTGGAAATTGTTTTCTCTTCATCTCCCTCGCCTACCAATTAAGGTACTCAATCTAGATTAGGAAAGTAAATCCTTTAAACTGTAAGCATTAATTACAAGTTAATCTTGAAAAAGAAATCTTATAAATTACAAGGAAAACGATATTCTAAAACTGAATCAGAATTACTAAATTATACTTTCTATAAGTGAAAAGATGCACCTCTCAGACTGTAATGGATTTAGACCGACCATTTAAGTTCAGATCGAGTGTTGAACCGTCTGTATCCAACCCATTACCCATTTTAACCACGAGGCTAAAGACTAGATTGATGCCGGCAATAATATTTAATGTGGGACGGCCATGTAGACTCCCAGTAGAGTAGTTAGCAAGTACTACACAGTATTACTGGTTCATGCATGCATGCTTTATAGTGTTGTGCACTATTGCTACGACAAAAGTCAAGATCCAGGACAAACAATTCCTTCCCCCTCTGACGATGTTTGTACTTTGGAATAGCACTATAGCAGCAAACATTATACACCAAATCATCAAAAATTATTATTTAGTCATAATTACACAAGTCAAATTTATCTTCTTATTATAAGCCAATTCAAACTAATCTTAAGCCTTCAGAACCTCTGCTCAAGAGCTGCTGAATGATGTAAATCGCGACTTATCTTTTCAGACCCCGGGTTCCACTCATGTACTCTACACACAATAGATTTTCATAGAATCCCATATTGTCGTTGAAACAAGATTTTAAGGTGATTGATAAAGCTAAAGATGGACGAAATTTATCTTACAGTCTTACACTTATGAGACTTACAAACAACACATATACACAAGTATATTAAACATTTAAAAAAATCCAGCAAAAATTAGTGGATGCATGTATATCCAAACATAAAAAATCAATGGTATCTTGGCTGGAGCGTAATTAAAAGTTGAAGGTGATGTGAAGCGACTTGATGCCATTCTGACAAACAGAAATAAATTAGGTGGAAGTAGTTGGAAAACAAAAAAAACAAAAAAAAAAAACCCCAAAGACTAATACTACATTTATTTTCGTTCTTTACATCATATCATTTTTACTTTCTTTACAAATTTGACATGTTCTGATTGATTATAATACTTATATTGTTTAGTATAATCTCAATACATACACTATCTAAAATTCTGAGTCAAGTTTGAAATAAAATAACTAACGTTACTCTATTATAAATTTACCAACCCAAAAGCACTTCCTTTAACTATATGGCCTGAGATATTCAAAGTGATTCTAAAATTTGAACTACTATGAGTTTAATTAAGTTATTTGTGATTTAAGTTTCCTTCCGTTTATGCTAGTATATAATAAACTATGGTTTATAATTATTATTTTTAGATAAATATCTAAAAAGAGTTCTACTTTTTTAGAGTATGATTATGGAATTTGAATTAATAAAGGAAAATGTAGAGAAGAGAGGAGCACTGTACTACTTTAAATTAAAGAAGGGGGAGTGCGATTGGTCAAAGAATTGAGGTGGGTACACAGAATCCAACCAAAATCTAAATAAGATCACACCTTCCCAGCTTGGCAATGGCTTACAGAGAAAGAGGCCAGAAGATAGCAGACTCAACAGAGTATATAAAAAGAAAAATAAAAAAGAAAAAGAAAAAGGAGAATAGGGATGGCAACCAGAGAGTGACCGGTGAATACTGCGGTGCATGCCCTTCTGCATGCCCGGCCTGCTCTACCCAATCACCACCTTACCCCCACCCCCCTCCACCCTTCTTCTGCATTTCATTTATGTCTGCTTCAACCTCTTTCTGTCCTAAGTACCTAAGCTGTCCTTTATCATATGCTTTTGTATATCATTTTATTCTTCTTTAATTTGATACTAGGGTTCGGTACAAGTTTAGAGCGTGTCTCCCGCTTGTAACAATGGTTGAGTATGCATACTATATCACGCACTGATTGTGTGACCGTGTTAGACACAATAAACGGATAAATCAACTGGCTAGTTTTACATAAAATGGGTAGGTGGCGACAATAACATTAAGGGTAGTTTTGCCTTAGACGCTAAGATATGGTTAATTTAGGTATGTCAATTCAGTTAAGTTTGGATAACTTATGTCAGGTCTGGCTAGATTGTATTGATTGTTTAATTTTGACTTTCAGTTTTCATTGTTGCCTTACTAGTAAGGCTTAGGGTTAGGCAGTTTTGTCGTACTTGATGAAATGATACTCTTTACATTTATATTATTGATAGAATACATAGTATGATTTTACTAAATTTATGACACTAGAGATTATTCTTTACAATTAGCAAATCTAATGGAATTAATGTTAATAATAGCAGACAATGAATGATGCACATAAGCATTTTCATATATCAAAATATACTCCCATGAAAAATACAGTAAAAACGTTTCAACGTAACATTATTTCTTTAATTTAAGAATATTCAAAAATACATTTCCTTTAAAAAAAATACACACAAATAAATTTTTTTCGCTTTTCCTGTTACCAATCAACTAGTGGACATACACATCGAAATGTCATTTTCCAACAAATTAATGAATGCACAATTACAAATTACAAAAATGAAATAATGATCAGTAATAAATTGCAATAAACAATTTATATATAGTGAGAATTTAAAAAATTCCATTCACATTAATTGTTGCTCCGGTGAAATTCAAATATGACCATAAAACAGTGGGTCTTCCTCATAGATCAAAACATTAATGGGGTGTTTTGTAGGATAGAAATTGTAATTCCATTTTTACCAAATTCCGTGGAGTTGTAATTCAATAGTTTGGTCGGAGGGAATTGTAATTTCCTCCAACTATTGAATTACAATTCCTATGGTTCCCCCAGATCTGGGTTGCCTTCTCGCCGAAGAAGGTGACCTTGGTGGTTTCTCCGTGACCGCGCGATTGTTCGCCGGTCGCCAGTCACTTTTTTTGTTTGAAATTTTATTTGAGGGTGGCTGAAACCCTAGTGACATGGGATAGCAGGTCATTAAATTATTGATGGTTGTAATTGCACCTTTAAAAATTTGGAATAAGAGTCAAATAGGTCATCGAACTGCACCTGATAATACAATTAGGTCACTGAACCCAAAAAACCAAACAATTGCGTTCCTAAACTAACCAATATCTAACAATTCATCCAATTTGAAGGTTTCTAACAGGTCAACAACCAAATTAATTATTTTTTTAAAAATAAAATTTAAAAATTAATTATTAAAATTAAAAAAAAAAAAAAAAACAGAAACGGCCGGAGACGAAGAGTTTCTTCGTCTCCGGCCGTTTCTGTTTTTTTTTTTTTTTAATTACTTAAATAATTATTTTTAAATTTTATTTATTAAAAAAATAATTAATTTGGGAGGATGACATGTTAACCTGTTGGAAACCTACAAATTGGAAGATTTGTTTGAAATTGGTTAGTTTAGGGACCCGATTGTTTGATTTTTTAGGTTCAGTGGCCTAATTACATTATCTTGTGCAGTTTGATGGCCTATTTGACCCTTATTCCTAAAAATTTTAGAATGTTAATTGACTTTTCAACTAAAATTCGAGAACTTAATTGATATTTTCCCCAACATAACAAGAATCTTCATAATATTTAGTCTGTGCATTACATTTAGGTGAATTACTAGTTACTTAAAAGATTAGAGTTAGAATAACGATATGATGATTTTACAAATTTTGATAACAATAAAACAAAATTTCACGTCACCTCATAACAAATAAAAAGTGAAAATTCTCAAAGAAATGAAAGAAAGTCAAAATTAGAGAGGACCAAAATAGCATGTTAAAGCATCCCAAGGCAATCTGTTCAGTAATGGAAAGTATTGAATACCGAGAATTAAGTTCCCAAGAAGAATACGAATCCTTTTGACGTTCCCGTTCCTACACCAACACCATATTGACGTCGAGGAGGCTTCGAAACACTTGTCTAAAACCGCCGACGAGAAGATTTCATACTTTCAATTCTGTTAGATAACGATAGCGACAAGGTTGAAATCGATCGCAGCAACGGCGCCGTTCACCACCGTGTCCTGCCACACACGATCCCCTTCCTCCACCGTAACGGTCCCCCCCCCCCCCCCCCCTTTTATTTTAGTTAGTCTTTAAATAAATTTCACATGGCATCCCATGAGCGATGTAGAAACCTAAAAAATAGATACATGTAATGTACTCCAATCCGTAGTTCAGAGAGTATCTGCGGGTTCCCAGGTATCAATAATACAAATCACAACTCAATTTTGTTAAAAAAAAAAAAAACAATATAACATGATATTATAACAACTAAAGCAATTGTCTTGAAAGGAATTATGCATAGATTTCCGGCCATTGGTTCACAAATCCAACACAATATTATAACAACTAAAACATGCATTCCTTTCCCTAATTTTTTTTTTTTAAACAAAAAAAAAAAAAAAAAACATACATTCCTTTAAAATGAATCACCCGCGCTTACAGCAACCTTGGCAAGAAGTTCCCCATCAATTTCATCTTGGGTTTGCACTTCACCATTAGTAACGCTTTCGCCATCAATTTCATCTTGTATTTCATCAATTTCCTCAGCCATATTGCCATTTTGTTCTTCTACTTTTAGAGGGGGTGGTCGGATGACAACAGGTCGACTAGGAGGTGGTCGGATGACAATAGGTCGGCTAGGAGGTGGTCCGATAGCAACAGGTTGGCTATTGGCAAGGGGTGGTCCGATAACAACAGGTTGACTATTGGCAAGGGGTGGTCCGGTAACAAGAAGTGGGTTAGGGTTATTTAAATGTTGCCAATTCCCACCATTATAGTAGCCAGGAAAATAACTATTATAACAAAATTCACTGGTAGGCACTGGGATATAATAAGGAACATAGTTTACTGAGTACGGGTTACCATAAGGGTAGTTAGTAGTAGTAGGGAAAATTGGGAAAGTCATGTTACCACCACAAGTTAAGGGGAGGGAATTCGTCATACCATTACTGAGGCCAACTTTTGGCTTAACCTCTGCAACCTTGACCTCCACCATCTTATTCTTCATATGCTGAAAACGTATTCTCAATGCAGTTTTCGCAGCTTCCTCGGATTCAAAGGTGACAAACCCAAACCCCCTCGGACGTCTAATCTCGGCATGTTCCACAGTACCAAATTTCTCAAAGTGTTCCTTCAATTCCTCGTCTGTGGAGTCTGGCGGTACACCCCCTACAAAAATCTTCTTAACACGAGTTTCCCCTTCTCTCGAACCCTTGGGTTTAGCCACCTTCACTTCCACCTACGACAACATTATATTGAACAAACTACAAATTATTAACCAAATATTTTTAAGGTTATAAATAATATAAAAACATAAAACAAACCAATTGAGCTAGAGATAGCATTATATTATTAGGGTTTTTAAAATTAGAAGTTTCTAAAAATTAGGGTTTTTTTAATCCTAAAGGAAAAATTATGCGATTAAAGCAAGACAAAATAAGTCTAACGCATAATTTAAGACCTAAATCAATCACATACTAGGAATATAATCTCAGACGCTCAACCACAACTTTTACAATTCAATAATATTCAATTTATATCTAGCATTAAAAATTAAAATACATTGTATGGTGCTTAGCAGGGTTGGCTAAGGTATTCAGAGATTAGGATGTGGGATGCTGGAATGGAAGATTTATTCCACCTTTTTTCGTCACAAAAAATATGTGTATATGAATTGATAACACTTCAAGTATAGCAACAATCTAATGATAAACTAAAGACAAAAAAAAAAAAAAAAAAAAAAAAAAAAAAAAAACTTGTCGAGTTAAATTGTGAAAAAATTAAATCAGAAAACGCAAATAATAATAACCTTTTTTCCGAGGATGACATGGGTATCACTCAAGACATGTTCAACAACAGAGTTGTCTGTGAACGCGATAAAACCAAAACCTCTGTCCAAACCAGTGATTCGGTCTCTAATGGTCTCGGAACTTCTGATCTCTCCATATTTACTAAAGTAATCTCTTAGGGTTTGTTCGTTAGTGCCGTGTGACAGTCCTCCTACGAAAAGCTTAATTTGCTGCTCCATCAGAGAAAACAAAGAGAAAAGTCGACGACAAGAATTACGCGACGACGAGAGAAGACGAGAATTCGACGACGAGAGACGATGAGAATTCGACGACGAGAGACGAGAATACGTAAGTTTTCTGTTTTTCTATCCAAACTCCACAGAGATTTAGGAAGGTTGTAGTAAAAATAATATTCATGTCCAGAAAATAGAAAATATATAATACATCGGAGGATTATGATATATAACAGAATTAGGATTGTATTACGATTCTATTAAGTATCCTAAGTGAACTGGACTCCAAGTAATCTAATTCCAATGGGATTTAGATTAAAAATAAAAAATAAAAAATTCCCCCTATTCAAATTAAATTTGTTAATCAGATCCGATTCTTAATTCATTAAATTTACTAAATTTTGGGTGATTCTAAATTAAGATTTTAGAAATTTAAAATTATACTAATAATCCAAGCATTAATTAATTCTACGGTTTGAATTAAATGCAACTCCTGCATACATTGTTATTATTATATTATTATATTATTATTATGAAATAAGGGTCAAATAGGCCGCTCAAACTGTGCACCAAATTGCAATTAGGCTATCGAACTAAAAAAGAATGCAATTGGGTCCCTAAACAACGCAAACTAATGCAATTCAATCCAAAATGACTTGTTACCTGGAAACATAGGTTACCAAATTCAAAAATATTTTTTTAATAATTTCAAATAAAATAATAATTATAATTTATAATTACAAAAAAAAAAAAAAAAAAAAAAAAAAAAAAAAAAAAAAACTCCTTCGTCTCTGGCGGAGACGAATGGCAGGGTTCGTCTTGTGTCGTCTCCCCGGCTATAGAGACAGCCTGAGACGACACACCTTCGTCTCAGGCCATCTCCCAATTGCATATAATGTGCACATAGCGGTGCTATGAGACCTAGCATGAGAGGTTTAAAACTTGTAACTAATGTGTAATATATTTTTATGAATCTATAAAAAGTAAACTTATAGAATATGTAATAGGATGCAGAAGTAATACGTGGATCAAACACAAACATGATCAAGTTGACAATGTAACACAATATAATATGTATAATAACATGCTCAGATTTGCTGTATACTTACATATCTCCTTTGTATATGGACAGTGTTTTCAAGATATTTACATGAAAGCTAATATGTATGGAAACTGAACAAAGTTTATGCTATAACTCTGCAGGAGATTGACATTCATTATGATCGCGTAACAGGAAGTTTGCAGCAGGCATTAAAGACGTCGTCTAAGGGGGCGTGATCGCCAGTCCCTTCATCCTTCCGCGCATACAACAATTGCTTCCCTTTAAACACAAGCATTCCTCCCTGGAAAAAACACGCGCGGTTAGGTACCTCCACTACTGGAAATTATAGAATTTCCGCCCACCTGAAGTAATCTTATATCAAGTCGAAAGCAAAAAGTGATCGGAAATAGCAACAAAGGTTTTACCGGATACCAAAAGTGATCGGAACAAGGCTTTCGACCTGATTTAAGATCATTTTCAGGTTGTCAGAAATTCCGTAATTCCAGCAGTGCTCACGGCATAGACTTCAATAGCGGGCGGGAGGGAAGGAAGGAGGGAGTGAGATAGAGAGATCAAACCTGTTGCAAGACACTGCTTCTGTCATCCGGGGTGGCAGCAATGGTGTAGTTCTTATTAGCTTCTCGCAATTCTTTGAATCTGGAAAATACTTTGGTCTGCACGTACCCCACATTATTGGCAAGAAAAAGAAACCTTGTAAACGCTAAGAAGATTAACATTTTCAAGAAGATTTTCATTGCTAATAAGAAGTTCAATGCAAAATTACACTGGCTGGGTTGAAAAAGGTGCGGCCAAGTCCATAGTACAAGCCTAGAACATCATAAGCCTACCATGGGAGATAAGAATCATGAGAAATTACATATCATTGAAAGCAAAAAACAAAATATCCAGGAAGAGGCAAAAGATTTTACCTTACGGTCAGGATCAGCATACAGAGAATCCAATGGAAAAGGTAACTGGCCACAAATAAGATTAACAAAAATAAATAAATAAATCAGATGATACTCCTACAACATAATGCAGAACAAGCTTATGTTATTCCAAACATCTTTTATGGAGTGTTCACAATTTGAAGTCACTTTTAAATTTAGGCTATTTCATATTTTTATCTACTTGTTCGGGCAACCCAGCCAAGTTAGCAAGACTACTAACTTGGTAACTACACGGTTAAAGTACACCTTCAGGTAGTAGCTGTGGGCTACCCTAGTCACTCAACAAAACACAATGCAGAACAAGATGATCTATTCATAGTAACATGATAACATCTTTATCAGTAATAAGATTTATTGTTTAGATATTATCTCAGTTTATGAACTTTTGAGTTGTGAAAAACTCTAAAGAAGAACAACAATACAAGCAAAATACACAAAAAACAGTATAATTGCAGAAGAGAAGTACCCTTTCAGCAAGAATTTGAGCTTTCTTAGGCTCGCCTACACCGACAGCGATTAGCTTGGCACCGACAGAATCAAATCTGAATTTAGAATCTCTCAGTGTTGATGCGAGTTCCCAGCTGATAATTCATATATCACACTAAATTTAGCTACCAGTCATTTCAAAACATATCATCCAGAAATTAAAACAATCAATTCAAATCTGGATTTAGAATCTCTCAGTGTTTGATGCAAGTTCCCAGCTGATAATTCATATATCACACTAAATTTAGCTACCAGTCATTTCAAAACATATTATCCAGAAATTAAAACAATCAATTCAAATCTGGATTTAGAATCTCTCAGTGTTGATCCAAGTTCCCATCTGATAATTCATATATCACACTAAATTTAGCTACCAGTCATTTCAAAACATATTATCCAGAAATTAAAACAATCAATTCAAATCTGGATTTAGAATCTCTCAGTGTTGATGCAAGTTCCCAGCTGATAATTCATATATCACACTAAATTTAGCTACCAGTCATTTCAAAACATATTATCCATAAATTAAAACAATCAATTCAAAAAAGATGTATTAATTACCAGCAAACACACCCAAAATGCCGCAGAAGTGCTACAACAGCCACTCCCTGAAAGCAAAAACATTTAAACTATATATATATATGAAGAGTTTAAATGAACTTTTAGAATTCATGAAACAGAAAAGTCATTTCACCTCTTGTTGATCCCACAGTTGCTTAAACTTGACGGGCTCACCCGTAGCACGAAATATACTGACTTCTCCAAGAACATCGCTGATATCTTCGGAGAAAACAGCGGGAGAATTAGACGACGATTTAGCAGAAATTGGAGTTGATTTCCGAAAATGAAGAGCGGGATGGGAAATCCGAGTGGATGAAAGCGAAGAACAACGAGGCAGCTGAAACATTTGAGTGCTCGGAGAAGAACATGACAGCGTTCTGGGAGAAGGAGATATTATCATCGCCATTGCCATCGCCATTGCAGCTAACTGTCGTCAGAGATTTCAGGAGAGATGAATGGCAACCGTCAACCGACTACCCTGTGGCAGGAGAAGTGTGGGCTTTGCAAACCGAAGTCGTAATCCATGACCTATGGGCCTTATTGGGTTATGCTACCAAAAAAAAAAAAGAATAAGGGTCATATTGATCCTTAAGTATATAACAAAGTGTAATCGTTTAAAAAAAAGAAAAAAGTGTAATTAAAATTTTGTCTATATGTACAGCTCAATTGGTAATAAGGGTGAAGTTTAAAAAAAACGTCGACCAAAGATTGAGTCTCACCAATGATAGTGAGGGAGTAACCTCTCAAAGTGAGGGGTACCTTTTAGGTAAAAGTATAATTAAAATTTAATTAATTTATTTGAGCTATAATAACATGTTGCTCTTGACTTCTTAAGTCACCTATCACGTAGGATGTCACAAAGTATAATACTTTTTAGAAATTATATATTTCTTTAATAAAAATTAAAATAATTATATTAATTTATTTTTAAAAAAAAATAACCACAACAATTTGCCACGGACGAAGAAGTTTGGCGGGCTTCTCCTTCCAACCTAGCATGGTTGTCGTCTATGGGAACTTGGTTGCCATGGACTCCGTCATTTTGGACTCGTGTCCACAATGTATCCACAACATAATTTGCGGTATTATTCTTAATGTGGCGAGAGAATGTATAAAGTTCAAGAATTCAGTTGAGTTATGAGTCGCTTAGATTATTTATTTTAACAATACTCCAAACTTAACATATAAAATTATAAATTCACCTATCAAGTGTGATCCAAACTCGAGCTAACTTTTTATCTATTCACCTAAGTTGCATACTTGCATATGGAGTTATTTATCACTCATCAACTCCAAACAAACATGCAACTATGCAACATGATGTACCATGTGTGAACTTTAGAACATCATTTTCAGTATATAAATATAAATATATAATAAAATGTAATGCTTTTGACCCCCGACAAATAAAATAATAATAATAAGCTAAAATAAAATTTTGATTTAATAATAATATTGTCACGTGATCGGGAGATGGACCCCCACTAATCAAGTTACCAAGAGTCAAGAGAGAATAATTGAAGTTGGCTACTAGCTTACATCCCAATTTTTATGCATAACAATAAAAGAAAAAAAGGTGAAACTTTGTTGTACTTTCTAATTAATATTTTTTTTATGAATCCTTTAATTTGTTTTTATATATTTGAATTTATAACGTATCGATTTATTGTTTAATGTATAATATATAATTAAGCCTATCATTAAAATGCATTTGCATATCTGTATTTCTTCAACACATACAGTAATTTAATGTATAAGTAGATGTCTTGTGACAAAATTAATTGTGAATTTCATATATAAATTTAACTTAAAAAAAAAAAAGTTATACGATTTCTTATGTGGTAGATTTCGACATTAAATCTCATTACTTTCATTTCGGGTAAACTGTATTAAAAATAAAAATATTATTAATTTTACTTGACTTTCATTTTGAATAAGAGGCTAGTTACAAAATTAATGTCCCAAAAGAGATGACTAAATGAATATAGCATAATTCTTTATCTAAAAGTCATGCGTTTGATTCTTATCAATACTCTATTAATCGAGTCGCTCAAATTCTTTTTAGTGCAGTTTTTTTTTTTTTTTTTTGGTTTGTAAACTATTATTCATGAATGATATTACCTAGTCCTCGTAACCCAAAAAAAAATATTATTATTAATTTTGCTTAATGCTTATAATTGACAAATCTATTAGTGCAAGCTATGCCACAAGATTTTCATTACAAAATGTTCAACTTGTGATCTGATGGGATCATTATTATCATTTTAGATGAAATGTCACTACAAAATGTTCAACTTTGTTAACATTTCAAATGAAATGTCACAGGTTTGAGTCTCATTCTAATTAAGAATGTTAGTATAATCATGTTAAACAGATATTATGAATAATATGTTAGATTGTATTAAAAAAAAAAATGTTGAAGTTGTATTGTAGCACATGTTTGCTTTATTAGGGAAAACAAAAGTCGATACCTTTGGTCCAACATGTCCGAGACCGGCGATACGTGGAGATAGCCTCTTTGTTCTTTGGTACTTGGTAGCGTACTCTTCAGATTGGAGCTACCTAGCTAGTCTTATCACTTCTCTTCCCCAAATTGCACTCTGTGTTTCCCCTCTGATTCACATACCCACCACGGCTAATCATGCCATTTCTCACTCTCTGACCAAGTGCGCCTGTTCTCTCTGAGTTTTGCTATAATAATGGCAATGACAATGAACTCATGCTCTGTGGAGGCTTCATAGATCGTTGGCTCTTCAAGAATGGATTTTGGGTTGGTGGGCATGGAGGGAATGGTGGGTGGCGGCGACCCATCAGGCGGCGGAGGAGGAGACCACGGATCTGGGAAGATCAAGCAAGAGAGATCTGGGTTGGGTGAAGAAACCTGGAGGCTTTCTAAGGCCCCCAGAACTTGTTCTTCTGAGGAGGACTTAAATGGTGTTAATCCCACTAGCTTGTTGCTGAGATCTGGGGATAATAATGGGCGTGGCCACACCACTATGCTTAGTTTCTCTTCCTCTTCCAAGTCTGAAGAAATCCCCTTTCTTTCTGTTAATGGGGAAGATTCATCTGCAAGCATTTCTATCCCATTTTTTCAATCTCAGCCCAAACAGGGACTCCCTTCTGGCAATGTTTCAGGTATTCAGAAACTTACAATGTTCATCTTCTGTTTTTATATAGATATTTGAAAAGGGGGTTTGTGACACAAAAAAAAGATGAATTTGTTGTTTTTTTCCTCAATGGAATCTCATGAAAACTGCAGATAGATGACATGAGTCTTTCCAAGTCTTTCCAAGTCTTGTCAAGAAATACAAAGTAAAAAAAAGTTTTAAAAAAGACTGAATATTAACATATTACCAAGAAAGAGAACTAAAGGATGATAGATTTTAGCCTTATGGATAGAGAGTGATTCAATATTGAATATGTATGCCACTAAGCAGAGAAAGACTTATTGATTGAATGTGAGAATGGGGAGAATGTTCTCTTCTCCTTTAACTGTTTTGGTCAACCTAACATGTTTGCACAATTTCATCTTACCTACTTATTATTGCAGATAGTGACTTTATATGTCTTCTTTACTTTGGCATTGTGGATTGTTGTTTCTTTTTATGATCTCCGCGTTTCTCACTAAACTTTATACCTTTCTTTTTTGCGCCCCCTTCAGTTTATGCCCCGGGAGGGGTGAACGAGGCCACACGCGGTGGCTTTTCATTGTTCAGAGGTCCATTCACTCCTTCTCAGTGGATGGAGCTGGAGCATCAGGCCTTGATCTACAAGCACCTTGTGACAAATGTCCCAATTCCTTCGAGCCTGCTAGTTTCGCTTAAGAAATCTCTGAGCCCATATACTTTTTCCGGTTTATCTTCGAGACCTTATGCCTCCAATTGTAAGTCATCTCTCCAAACTAACTAGTTAGGTTCTCTAAAGGGAGCATATACTATAGACAATTGCTGGAAATGTGTTTTTATCCTTGTTCGTATAGTTATATTGGCTATGTTTGGCAAATCTAGCTGAAAAGGTACTGAAAGCTGAAAAGCTATAAGCTAGAAGCTAAACAGGTAGCTGAAAGCTGAAAAGCTATAAGCTAGAAGCTGAAAAGGTAACTGAAAGCTGAGAAGCTATAAGCTAGAAGTTGAAAACTGAAGAGTTGTTTGTATTGTTATATTGTCTACAAAGTGTTTTTTGGGTACATATTTGCTTATTTATATCTCTAATATGCTTCATATATCCTGCATATCCATAATCCCTCGGTATTTAGTTTAATCAGATTGGTTGAGTTGATTTTGCTTGGTTTACTCTCTAGCTTTTCATTTTTTGTTGGCTTTCTATTGTATGCAGGGGGTTGGGGTCCTTTCCATCTTGGTTTTGCTGGCAACACCGATCCCGAACCGGGTAGGTGTCGTCGAACAGATGGAAAGAAATGGCGGTGTTCTAGAGATGCTGTTCCCGATCAGAAGTACTGTGAAAGGCACATCAACAGAGGCCGCCATCGTTCAAGAAAGCCTGTGGAAGGCCAGACTGGCCGTGCTGCTTCTGGAACCGCCGCCTCCAAGGCGGTTCCGGTGGTTGCTTCTTCTTCCTCGTCAGCACCCGTGATACCCAGTGGCGGCGGGGCGTCCAACAGCTTTAGCGCTGTGCAGCACCAATTCAAAAGCATGCAGCAATGCCCCGCCAATCCGTCCACTGACCATCTCACCAGCAATAGGTAAATACGCCTTTTTAAAATGTCACCTTTTCGATACAACTTCACATATTGAAATTGAAATGCAAAAGTAGAATCTGGGAATGCCCTTTTACCTTTTCTTGTTTTTAAAGAGCCAATTGTTTCGTCATTGCTTTAGTGAAAAGCAATTAGCCCTAGAAGAAACATAGCTCGAGATTCCTTCCCTAGGAAGACTTCCTTTTTCTTTTTCCTTTACATTATAATAAGAAATCTTTTCTGACAAATATGTTATTTTCCTTAATTGGTAGAACACAAGGGCTCTCTGTGATATCTCCTAGCATGAATTTGAAGTCCAAGGACTCGGCAATCTCCATTCAGAAGCAGCAGAACCCTTTGGAAGAATCCTCCGCTCGCTCAGAGTTTGGATTTCTCTCGTCAGATTCACTTCTCAATCTTTCGCAAAAGTCCCATGTAAATTCTAAAAACTCCGGTACTCTCGATTTCAATTGCCACGTAACGAACGAGCAACATCCAGTTCACCATTTCACCGATATCTGGACCAAGGAACAGTCGGGCTGCGATTCTGTTTCCTGGCCAGAACTGAAACCAGACTGGACTCAGCTCTCAATGTCCTCCATCCCCATGACTGCCTCGAATTTTTCATCATCCTCGAGCTCCCCTAGGCAAGAGAATACGTCGAACTGGTTACCAGTCTCGTGGGGGAACTCGATGGGCGGTCCATTAGGTGAGGCCTTGAATAGTACTTCGGGTGGCAGTGCTGGAAGTGGCAAGAACTCGTCTAATCTGAACCTAATGACAGAAGCATGGGACAGTAATCCACATTTGGGATCGCCCCCGCCTGCTGACCTGCAAAAATCTGATCTTTGTCTAACTCTCAAACAGCAGTTCGGGGGGAAGCAGTCCCAAGATGACAAGAAGACAACAGCAGCTCTCGAGGATGGCATGGGGGACGAGGTGATTGGCTCGAACCTAGTAAGTTCCGTGTATTCAATCAACGTTTGTCTGTAATCGTGTCTGGAAACTGATAGCCATGGAGAGTTGATGGAAGGTGGTGACTTGAAGAAGAGTATAGACTCTCCCTGGATTTAAGTTCTTGAGAATTTATTATTTCCCTGCTGTCTTTCCTTTTAATATGTATGTGTTCTGCGTTGTTTTTGAAGCAGACTTTCCAGATTAACTTCATCTATATTTGTTTTATTGTTGTTATCGTACTCCGACATTGTTTCCCAGAATTTACATTAAATGTTTGTTTCATGTTTTCCCAGAACTCACACTCAACCCTCCTTCAACTCTGTTCTTCTCCCATCACTATCTTCCTAAATCATAGTCTCTGCATTCTGCTCACTGATTCAGTAGACAGTATTTGAGAGAAGAATAGTCTGAATAATTTGTCTTAGCTTATTTGAAACCCAAATTATTGCTTATAGAGGTGATTAAAAACTTTCTTATAAGAAAGTGTATCTGATTTTGAATTTGTATTTTCCCTAACAAGCACCACATGCATAAAAGCAACATCCATACATATGCATCGCACGAACATAAAGTTTCTTAAAATTGAGATCTTACTTTATCTTCTGGCCATTAACTTTCTTTAAAGTTGATAAAAAAAAAAAAAAAAAAGGTAATTAAGTAAAGATATGGATTCATTACACCGTAATACACACTTTTTTATTATAATGGAGGGAAATACCCAAAAGTGGCAGAGAGTTACAAAGGGGTGTTTACAGTGAGGCGCCAATGAGGCAAAGCAGTATAATCATCCTCTAAGATTCCCAGAATTTCCTCAGGTGGTGTAGTAAACATACGCAGCCCTTTAGAGAGACCTCTGGCCAGTCTTGCCATGAAATCAGCAGCTGCATTTTGTTCACGGCAGATAGTGTGGATTTGCCAAACCTCGAATAAACGCAGCTCTCTTTTGCATGCTAGTATTATGTTGTGGGCTACCGAAGAGGGTGGTAAGTTATTGTGGACATATTTGGCTATCTCTGCACAATCCGTTTCAAAAACTGGTTTTTTAATACCCAAATGGATGGCCATCTGTATTCCTTTTAGGAGGGACCAAGCTTCTGCTTCCAATGGTGAGCATGTCCCAATGTTGTAAGCAAAGCCGTGCAGCCAGGTTCCCGAGTCGTCGCGAATCACTCCCCCACACCCAGCTTTGGAGGTGGGCTGATCCACTGAGCCGTCGATGTTAACTTTTGTGTAGCCTGCCTGTGGTTTGGACCATGAGAGCAGCCTCCACAATTGGTCTTCATGTGGTCGTGGTCCCTTTGCTCTATTGAAAGCAGTCGTGATTTCTGTCAATTGGGCTTTCAGCCAGGCTATCTTAGCTGAAGTCGGCTTTTCTGTATTATTGAAAATGGCATCATTTCTCCACTTCCATATCCACCAAGTTGTAATAGCAAAGAGGATGTTGTTATCTAGGGGCCTCCTGTTGTCATACTTAACCGAAATTCCTTTTTCAAGCCAAGCTTCGAAGGGTGGTTCCATACTAATGCTGTTGGTTGGGGGGAGAATGGAGTCCCAGATTATTTTGGCTTTAGGACATCTGCGCAGGACATGGTTTGTATCCTCTACTTCATCTTCGCAATACCAACATTTGTCACAGCTTGCAAAACCTCTCTTTACTCTATTCTTGTTTGTCATGATTCTATCATGAGCTACTAGCCAAAGAAAGATACGGATCTTGTTTGGGACTTTTATCTTCCAAATGCTTGTCCACTTAGCGGCTTCCAAGGTTGCAGTGCTACCAATAGCGATGTCATAAGCTGAGGAAACAGAGAATGTTCCTGATACTTCTCTATTCCACCGAATTGAGTCTCTGACATTTGAATCTCCGGCTAAGATGCAAGCTGCCAGCTTTGATAGGTCCTCTTCTGGCAGTAGATGATTTAAAAGGTTCCATTTCCAGCCATGGTTTATGTCCCAATATGAGGCCACCTTTCTGTCAACATCAACTTCTGGGATATCAATTAGAGTATCAGCCCTAAGGGGCCTATCGTTTAGCCAATTATCTATCCAAAATCCCGTGTCTTCCCCGTTGCCAAAATTAACTAGACCAAATTAGTCAAAATTATGCAAATTAGACGTTAATATTTTATTTCCTTTTAAAGGATGAGAATATACGGCCAATCAAACTGGTTAAAATAGATAGAATTAATTCCACTTTTGATCCCACAACTTTTGAAGTTTTATCACTTTTAGTGCATAACTTTAAAAATTTTCAATTTTAGTGCCTAACTTTGTTTGCTAACTTTGTTTGTTTGTTTTTTGAGGAAAAGTGCCTAACTTTGTTATTTTTATTAATTTTGGTACTTTCGGTCAAATTGACGGCGAAATGTTGTCGGATTTTATATTTTTAGGGGTAAAATCGTCATCTAAGAAAACATCTTCAATATTTAAACAAAATCACTATAAAATCATATCTATAGTTGTTTGATTGATGAGAATAATGGGGAAAACGGACAGAAAATAGACACAGACTTATGGGATTTATAGCGTCGACGATGGACAAACTCTTATTTTTCTCTAAATATAATTTTTCTTTTGTTTAGATACTGAATATCTTTCTTTGGCATGACGATTTTGCTTCTAAAATATAAAATCTGGCAATATTTCACAATTAATTTGGTCGAAAAGTCCTGATAAAAATAACAAAATTAGGCTCCAAAATTTAAAATTTAAAATTGTGCACCAAAATGGATAAGATCTCAAAAGTGATGGGACCAAAATTAAAATTAATTCAAATAGATATTAATCATAAGACAATATATAAAGTTTCTACCAGGCAATATTTTGCATGAGTTGCATCTCTTCGTAAACATCAAGTGATTTGGATTTCCGTCTCCCTCCTGCCGCTCGCCGGATGTTCAACTCCACTATTGGTGTCCATCAATCGGAAAAGCTAAGCTATCACCCTCGGGCCTCGTCGGAATCTCCTTTGGTGTTAATATTCAGGCAAGCGAATCGCTGTAACAAAGAGAAAAACGCTGCCGTAACGCCGCTAATCAGCCTCGCCGCCACCGCATCAACCTTCTTGGTCACGATGGTACAGGCCGTGGTCGGGTTTTCCGGCGCTGCATGAGGCGGCGTTACGGCGGAGCTACTATTTCGATCAGAACACCAGCTCATGCTTCTGTAGTTGTGCCTTTCTTCACTAAAGAGACAGAATTTAAGCCCTCAGCTCTCAAGAGTAAATATAAATATATACGAGACATTAATGCGTTTTGATTAAGGTTTGTATATATAACGTTTGTAGCAAGTTAAACTATGATTAAGACAATCCAAGATAGTTTTTAAGGAAGGAATTTCACAATTTGGGAATCAAACCGACTACAACAACATAAGTTAGAATTTGTAACTTGAAATTCAGAGACTTTGCGTCTCCAGAACATAACTCAACTGATTGATCAATGCATGCATTGTTGATAATTTTGTATAACTAGAAGGTTAGGTTCAATTTATATGTAGCAATTTACTATTGCCATAGGTATATGGTTTATAGGTTCAAATCATATAACTAAAGCCCGGGCTTTTAGTGGTCCATAGGCGTTTGTTGTAAAACATATGTTTTTTCCTTTTACAACAGACACAAATGGTTCTTTCTGTACTAGAATATAACTCAACTCATTTATCAATGCAGAAAATTGATAATTTTATATAACAGAATGTCATAAAGTGTAGGTTTAATTCAATATGACAATTTACTTCCTCGACTAGGACTTCGAGATAAGGGCAAGTTGGAATCTAGAGGGGTACATTGAAGTTAAGGTGGCACCAAAAGCCAAGGACTATCAACAATGTGCAAACACAAAGAAAGGCATGCTGTAATTGCCGCAGAGGATTTCCACCTCACATACTCCAAAGCTTCTGCACTCTTATCCTGCACAGCATCCACTCTTCTGCTTAAATTCTGGGAAAACCTTTCTATCATAAACTCCTGAAAAGATTTCATGGTCTCAAAGGTAACCTTCCCTGTCAAGTCAAGAAGAAACCTTCTGTTCCCAGGCACAGACAGAGCGGAAGAACACATTTTCCCCACCAAAACATTCTTCTTGTTCTTCTTGTCATCTTCATCTTCATCCCTGGGATTCGCAGTGGTCAGAACTTGATGAGATGTTCTGACAAATGTCTCCACCCCGCCATGGCAGACAGCCACCAGCATGTCTCTCACTCTGGTTTCGTGGTTCGGGTTAGTTAATCCGGCAAAGATTTGATCGTAGGTGTTGATGTTCATCGTCTTCTCCAGGTACACTGTTACGGCACTGCTCACGAAGAGACGCACGCAATCCCCGATTAATTCTCTGCATTTTTCGTCTCGGAGAACATTGTTTACCCACCTGGGTGGCTCTGAGCTAAGGTTGTCTGAGAAAACCGCCATGGCTAAGTTCTTCGCAAAGCTCCCCACAACCACCGACGCAAAACCCGAGCCGCCGTCTGTGAACAGCTTATCCAGAACGCGATCAATGCAACCGGAATCTCCCGTTTTGTGCGGATAGCCTTGAAGGATTCCGGTGGTTATGGCGGCGGTGATCTTGACCAGAGACTCTGAAACCTCATCGGACTTTGCAATCTTTGAAATCTGCCTTAAACTTGTGGGGACTTGATCGGAATCTGACTCTATAAAATCCTTGAAATCTTTGGAGAGGACTGCAATTGCATCTGTTGAATTAGATACAATATCAGCTAAGGAAGCTAAAGAACCGATGAGTTTCATCAATCTCTCCCTCTTTTTCACCATGCCAGGTGAATGATAAGCTCTGTATGCACCATAGCTAGTGAGACCCAAGATTCCCAGAGCAAGAACCCACTTCTTGTTTCTCCGAGTATAACTCAAACCCTTGTTTACTGTTCCCAAATCCATAATAAGTATCACAGTTTCAACTCTGATCTTTTCCTGGAAAACAGAGAATCAGAACAAGAAGAGATGCTGGCCTGGCGTGTGAAAGAAAGAAAAGAAGCAGATCAGATGATAAGCACGACTTGAATCTTGACAGCTATACGTCATCCACTCCTCCTCCTCTGTCAACTTCATCCAACTAAATAAATTTGGAATATTTAAACAAAGAGAAATTAAATTTTTTTTTTTTCTGGAGTTATCAAAGAAACTTCGGTCACTATTTGAGAGTGTGTAATGTATAAATCTGACATTATGACCTTAATCAGCAAATGATCAAATCAATCTAAAAAGATTATAAGCTTATAGTGGAACATTGATATTATTAAATTAACAATCTGACCAACTTAGCTGAGTTGAAGGGAGAAATTAGTTTTGAATGGAAGATTGGGAGATAAGGATTAGGGAGCATAATGTATATGCGGCTGGCAGATATGGAGAGTTTGTTCAGTTATTATCAGTTATGAGTGGCTGTTGGTACTGATAAATTGTTGGGATAGAGATGACGACTGAATATATATTATATGGCATGGGGCCGCCCAGCATGTGCATGGTGGATTCTAGAGTCAAATACTCTGTTTGAAATACGGGCAGTCAAGTCGAGGAAGACGGCGGGGTTCAAGCCCAGAGGCTCCAGTTTAAGTTGGAGGCGTAGATCAGATTGTCAGAAAAAATTACGTGGACCAAATATTTTTAATATAATAAAAATATATTATTTGTACATATAATATATTTTATGTATATAAATAATATATATACATTTTATTAAGGTTAACACAAATTTGTGGATCATGATATAATGATTGCGAAAATTACAGAGTAGGCTATGGCGCCTGCTTGAGTGCTTGTACCACTTTCATGAGTTTTTATCTCATTTGAGGCCTGCTTAATGCTTATGGATGAGGCTTCTTAGATCTTGAAGGAAAATGATATGATCTTCAAGCCCAAATATAGCCATCCAATGACCCACAACTTATGTGTTTTCTAAAGGACAAATATACTAAACTTTAGTACTCCTTCTGTCTCGCCAAATTATATTGATGGAGAGTTGATGCGACAGACACTGTTATGTTCATCTAATTTCGTTACAGTTTTATTTTTTGTGTTTATAAGTATTATGTTAAGAGTTTATGTGTGTATTATGTATCATGTTAGATTATGTGGATTAGGTCAGAAGTTTATGTGTATTCTACCCCATAAATACTCAATTAAATATATCATACTCCCTAAATAAATTGAGCCAATCCGCAAGAAGTCTACACTTCTTTCATAAACAACATATTGCAATAATTTGTATTCTCAAAAAATACAACCATGCAATGAAAACACATGTATACATACTTACTTACTCTATATATATATATATATATATATATATATATATATATATATATATATATATATATATATATAGTCTGACATAATACTGAAAGAAGGAAAAAATGATAATGTGAGTCATAGCATGTATGCATGGCTCGTTACGTTATTACGAATAAGATTGAAAACTAGCTTATAAGAGAACTGCGTTGGCCTCAAGCTGCGGCGGCGGCGGTCCGGCGCCAGGAAGAACCGACGCCCACCATGCAAGAGATGACGGCGACAACGGCGCAAACCCTAAGCCCTGACCATTAAACCACCCGAAAACGTCCGCCGCCGACGACGGGAACTCAGCAGCGTCCGAAAATTGCGTGTCACCGGAAAGAGCCAGAAACTGCTTCCACTCCGACACATTATTATTATTATCATCATCACATGCACTTTCCGGCAACACCGTGGTCCTGGGTGGCACGGCTTCGAGCGGAGGCGGCGCCGCGTCCTGCTGACGGCGGGAGTTGGACCGGAACCCGGGCTCGGCGGTGAGCATTTGGACAGCTTCCTTAAAATGAGCAGGAAGCACCTTGTAGATTTTAGGCGGTGTCGGCGGCATTGGCGCTATCGGCATTTTCTTCGTCATATGTCTGCTGGGAATTCTCCGGACAGAATGGAGAGATGAAAGATATGAAGGCCGCAATGGCTTCACTCTGTTCCCCTCTGCCTCATACACAGCAAAAGGATAATAAGACTCACAGGAGGAAGAAGACGACGACGAATTATATGAACGTGAATCCATAATAATATATATATATATATATTACTTATATTAGCTTGAATTGAAAATGAGCTTTCCAAACTTAAATGATATCTGATACTGGGAAAGATGGTTATATATATATAGTAATATAATATTGGGAAGTGAAGTTTCCAGGAAGCAGATATTTATTGAATTAAAGTTATATATATATATATATATATATATATGAATTGAAGAAGATGATGAAGGGCAGACAGTAGGCTATGGGTGGTAAAAATGATGTGACAAGAAACAATGGGCCACCACCACATATAATGCATATAGATGCAAATGTAGTATGTAATATGATGTTTGTCTTTAGTGGCGGCCACGTCTTTCCGTTAATCTCGTCGAGCACTCAACATTGACCTTCACTTCTCCTTTGATTTCCTTTAAACAATTCATTATTGTTTCTTTCTTAGTCCTCTTGAATCCTTTTAATCTTTCACACTATATAATGGTGAGTTGAAATGAACAATTTTTAGTAAAAGGTGAGAATTTATCACAGTCATCCATTAAAATTTATTTTGAAGATTTTAGTAAAAAAAAAAAAAAAAGAGTCAATTTATAATTATTATAAAATTTTAAATGTATAATATTTATAAAACTAAAATTTTCATTTTTTTTTCATTAGTGTTCAACAACCCTCAATTGTTGACATACTCAAATATGGATTAAATTAGTGTTATTTTTTACTTGAACATGTTCTTACCTGAGCGCTACAGATAGGAATTATACCCTACAGTATGCTTGTACATGTGCTTATGTACGGGTGACCAAGAGGTTTGTTTCCCAAGTACAACCAACCATCTGTATGTTCTCCACTTCTCCTTGACCTGAACCTGATCGGAAGAGGATTCCCCGTTTAGTCAAGTGTGTTCCCCACTTGAAATAGTCTCCTCGACCACATTTGGTTGTGAATACTATTCCCGAACACGAGATCATGTTACTTGAGCACATATAATTCGGAAGCATTATACGATCACATCATACATGTGCGAGCGTCAGAAATCCTAGGGAACGTGGAATCATTTGGACTGCCCTCATCACAACCGGTGCATGGAGGACACGTGGTCGACATGCCGGACGCCTGACATGTGTCCCCTCCAAACCTCTATATAAGGCGCATTTAGTGCTTGAACTACCCGAAACTAATCGAAGTAACCAAATACAATACACCAACGTATTTGTCACATCAACTACCATACATATATATATATATATATATATATATATATATATATATATATATATATATATATATATATATATATATATATATCATATTCTCTTCTTTTTAAAGGAATATTCTTTTTAGTTTTCATGTTAAGTCCACAGGTTTTTTTAATTCCTGGCCTGGTTTCATATCTCAAATTAGTCCACCCTTTAATTTAATTGGTATATTAACTACTTGGCCGCCATGAAAGTAAATTTTCCATCTTTGGAATTATTTATGGTTTGGGGTTATATAATAAGTCTTTACATTTAATAATAATTGCAAAGAATTATATACTGATATGACCCGTTAAGTTAAAATAAAATGATATGATTTGTCAAGTTAAATAATAACTTCAATTTAAACTTGTGACAGTTTCACTTTTGGTATTAGTGCACATATTTTTACTGGATTTGAGCAAATCATGTTTTTTATTTGTCATTATTTATGTACCCTTTTAATTGTGGGGATAACTTTTGTTGCTAATATAAATAATCTAATTTATTTTTTAAAAAATCTTATAAATTATGTAATACCCAATTTTCCTTAGAAATTCTAATTATTCAATTTCACTGAGGGTAGCTTTCTTATATGTGTGTGGCAGAGGCGCAGTGGGAATATGAAGGTTAATTTTTCTGGTTATTTAATTCATTATCAACTAAATTTATGGCCAATTTCTTTTTTTTTTTTTTTTTTTTTTTTGGAAATTTATGGCCAATTTTCATATTCAAGGTTCCAATATTCAACTGATGAGTAATATAATATTGTATTAAACTATCCTCATGTATCTAGAACTATTCTGTCCATTCAAAGATAATACTCTCCAGTCTCCTCAAATCCCTACTACTTAATTAATAAATTGTATAACGTAAGGTAAGATGTATGTGAGTGAAGAATTATGGCAATTGATCTTTAGTCTTAGTACACTATTTTAAACACGAAGGGCTGTAAATCTCTGCTTAGGTTGAGAAGTATATTAAGGTATACAGTTCCATTTTTTTTCCTGCCTTGTGACCCTAAGTAGCAAAGAATTACAAAGTGATAAATCAACCTAGGTATTGTCCATAGCTAATCAGCTCAAACTAAGAAGGTTGGGCTTCGAACTCGTGACATTATGATTACAAGTTTGTATCCTTAGTCAGCTTGGTTGAGGTTACCTCGGAGCTTGACTTTTATAGTGCTATCAAGAGAGAACACATGTCAAGATCTATCCCACGAACAAGACCTACGCGGCAGTCAATTAGTTGCTCGTCAAGTAAATCATGATACATGTTCGGACCAATGTAATTTTTTTTAGGCAGCCTAATGACAGAATAGATGTATCAACATAGAGAAATCAAATCCAGAATAGTCAACTTTTCGATGGAATACGTCAAAAAGCACCCATAAGAGGCCATATCGTCATATCAGAAAAAGTACAATATACGCTCCATATATCCTCATCAAATGTTATAAAAATGAAATAATTACTTGTATAATGTATCCAATTTGCAAGGTAGCGATATGATTTGATTATAATCCAAAGCAATGTAGGGTAGTAAGGAGCATGAATGAAATTGATATATATGATATTCATGTACCTACCTGCAGCCGCCGGAGGCCGGCGTGCCCCCACCTTCCTTAGCCTCATTGAATATCAGAGCAAAATTATTAATTATGGGACCATCAAATCAAGTCTAAAATTAAGATCGAACATCTCCTTAGACTTGTTCAGGTTGAGTGTGTATAGTTTTTCAATGACAAGGACTGGAGATTTTCGATCACTTAATTTTATAATTCGTGATTCTTAATTGACCATTAATCTTGAATTATTGGACGGCGCCGATTTCACTTTGTTAGTCTCACTATCTCTGCATAATAATCTGGCCGACTTCATATGCATTTTGTATTTCTATCACTTATATATATATATATATATATATATATATATATATATATATATATATATATATATATATATATATATATATATATATATTTATTTATTTATTTATATTTATCTCACATTTCCTTCCATATGGGAGAGCAACTAAGTGCCACTTGGCCACAAGATCATTTGCAGAAAATATGTTCTTATCAAAACAACATAAAAAAAATGTTGCTTATTATATTGTTAAAGTAGCGTTTTGTAAAATAAAAAAAAAAAATATTGATTAAAATCACATGTTATCAAACAATTATTTATTTTTACGTTTTGATCAAGTTCAAAGCTAAAATGGTCAAATTTGCTAAATCTTAATCAAAACGTTCGTCATAATCATTTACTAAATAAGGACAATAACTCATAAGCAAACTGGTCAAATTGAAGATTTATAAATAATGTGACAGATATATAACCATACACATAAGCTAGGGGGTTCGATCCACACCTATGTGAATAAAGCAAACCATTTGCCCATTCTCATACCACTTAGTGTGCTGACCATTGAGATGGAGGATTACTGTTCTAGCTATCGGCTGGAGGGATATCTTTGAGCAAATAAAAAATACGCATAAGCTAAGATTCCTATAATATAATAATATAACAGTCCTATGAAATTGGAACAGTTATGGTTTTCACAGGAAGGTTCCAATTGATAGAACACATATGAGAGTGGTTACCATCAAATAATGCAAACGGAGTAGCAAGTGGGAAGTGATCTGATCTCTATCAATTTCAACCACGTTTTAAATTAAAATATAATAAAACAGTGAAGTTCTAGAGCATTATGCATTTATGCATTTGAGCAAGTCTTTGCATTAGTTTCTGATGAATTCCATCGCACCTTCCCTGGCGGCCATGCATGCCTTCAAGGACATTCATGATACAGATTCATCAACCAATAGCTTTTTTATTTGGTTTGATGATTCAAGAGTATTTTAGTGTCGGATATATGATAAAAACAATTATTTAAACCTGACTCAAGTAATTAAATTTCGATGGCAAAATAATATCTGGACCCTCCAAACCTCAGCTCCACCAGAACAACTATGTATATCATATTATTTGTGCAATTAGCTCAAGTGGTTGACCAATCAACGTATAGTCTTGCTTCTAGTGGCAGAATGGAGGGTTCAAACTCTATTGGGAACCTGTTAAGTTACTGAGAGATTTTGATTAATTAGTAATGGTGAAAATTGTTTGTGTTTAGAAGTGTATAAGTAAAGAAGGAACCTAGAATCATTTGGGTATACTCAGGATCTATCTCCTTTATGAGGCTTGGGTGAATTCATTAAATTCATGATACAATATGGCGAAGTAAGGAAACTAAGTTATAAAAAAAATATCAAATAAGTCACTGAATTTATGAATTTTGTGCAAATTAGATCACTGTCTGAACTTAAAAAGTGTGCAAATAAACTAGCAAAATATGCCCAATTATGACATTTTTCTGATTTTCGTTTAATACAATTTGAATTTATCCAACACAAACTACATAAAAATAACAGTAACAAATAAATGGAAATTATAAATAATTTTTAGCTAAAAATTACTCGTAAATTAGTAAAAATTAGCACAGTAGAAAGCCATGAGATACAATCTATGCTTGAGATTTAGCAGCGGGATATACAGCGTTTACCAGTTGAGAGGCGTCCCGGCGAATTGAATGAACGAAAGATGAAGAGGAAAGAGGAGAAACGACGAAAATTGCATGAAGGCCTGCTGAAAATGCTCTATCCGTCTCCATCATCGCCTTCTCACCAAGTACTAACATTTTCTCTGTTAATTATTCTGTTTTTTTTTCCCTCAATGTTACGCTAAAATCGGATGATTAATTCAGAGAGAAAGCAGCGAGGAAGCCGATGAGAACACTCATAGCGAAGGCCTCGACTTAGATCTCGTTCCAGGTGCTTGTTTTCTTCATCCATCGAGCAGTATCGACAAGCTAATTCTGAGGTTCAATTTGTATTTAGGCCGGCTTACTTGTGGATTGTGAATGCAGATGAATATGAGAATGAAAGGAGCTCTTCTTCTTCGGCAAGCGATGATCACGAGGGTGGGTGTGAACCTCAGAAGCTAACCAGGGCTCAGAGGAAGCGTATTCGCAGAAAGAAGATGAAGGAAGCTGCATCCCGCCGCCAGAACATCATCGGGCCATTGTTGGCTAATGCAAGCGATGTAGGTGCGGAAATCGCAGACGAGTATCCTCCAGGTGTTCGACAAAATGCCCAAACGCCAGGTAACCGTCAAACAATTCCATTTTGTTTATATATCCATTACCAAATAACCATATTAGGTTCGAAATCATCTCTCCTAACGATTATTGTTCCATTAATTACTTCCTAATTGTTATCTTTTTTCATTCGCAATAAACTTTATTCTCTGCACACAAAATCTCTTCTTCTCAAGTTATTGTACTTATGGTGTGAAGAAGCAGCGTGGGATACAAAACAAAATAAGGTAAAACAAAGAAGGATGGCTAAGAAGTTAGGCGGCGAGAGTTCAACGTTATCTGGCATGGCAGGTAGTGATGCTGGTTCAGGACCATTCAACAATGAAAGCTCCAAGGAGTCCTAGTATTCATGGGTGTTTTAGGAGAGTACCAAATTGGCACCTGATGATCACTCCACCCTATTTACATTTGGAACTTCATATTAACATTGAAACATTATTCTTGCCTCTTTTAATACAATTACAATTGAGATGAGTAAAAACTAATTACATAAAATATGAAAAATTCGCACTTAAAATAACTCGCCTAGCTAGCTGGTTTGACAAGCTGCCTGCACATGAAACTTTGGGTGAAACCAACCATAACCATTCAAAGTCTGATCGACTTAAACCAATAGACAATTCTACGAAGAACCTTGTAGTTATCAAGTTAATTATTCAACAAACTTAGTTAGGGTTGCCCCGTCTGACCCCTTCTAGGATAATATATAAGAAATATGAAATTTCAATTGCCAAATTCCGAATTTAGACATTATCTAGTTGGTTTATTTATTAACCTCTCTATGTATACCCCAATTGCCCAATAATGCAATCCCAATCCCTTTCTCCAAAGTTCGCAAATAACTCTAACAAAGTGCAAGTTGTACCGATTATGATTACTAATCTCGGTATTAAACTATTAATTTCAAGCCTCCCAACCCATCTTACAATTTGGCGGATTGAATGAGGCGCTCATATCTTAGTCAGCCACCTTTTCCATAACAATAATGTATGTAGGATTTCTTTTACATAAGACAATTTCAATGCATGTATGCCCTATTGTAGTTGTATTTACTGTTTTCAAAGAGAGATTTGTCAGAGCCCAGATAAATTTGTGGTTTGAAGGGGGTGAAAGGGTAATTTACCGGGGTAGGTGTAGAGAACAGGTAGTAATTTTTCTGGTTTGAGGAGTGTAGAGGTAAATTAGCTGGGGCGGGTGGGATAAAAAAGAAATCGCCCACCGTGGGGCTCGAACCCACGACCACAAGGTTAAGAGCCTTGCGCTCTACCAACTGAGCTAGACGGGCTGTTGATTTTCTTTCTATTACATTTTTATATATACTAAATTTGCGTCCAATTGGTCACCCAACGACAAGTTAAAATCGATTTCCTACTCGACTGAAACCCTAAACCCTTCATTGCAACTCGCAAGCACCACCACCACCACAGCTATGGCGGAGGTAAAAATCTCTGAGACGCGAGACCTGACGAGAATAGAGCGCATCGGCGCTCATTCACATATCCGAGGACTTGGCCTGGATTCCGCACTCGAGCCTCGAGCGGCGTCTGAAGGTATGGTGGGTCAGACCTCGGCCCGGAAAGCTGCCGGCGTGATCGTTAAGATGGTCCAGGAAGGAAAAATCGCCGGTCGTGCTGTGCTCCTAGCTGGCCATCCAGGAACTGGGAAGACTGCTATTGCGATGGGCATGGCTAAGTCGTTGGGTCAGGAAACCCCCTTCGCAATGCTCGCCGGAAGCGAACTCTTCTCCCTGGAAATGTCAAAGACCGAAGCCTTAATGCAAGCGTTTAGGAAGGCGATTGGAGTTAGAATCAAAGAGGAGGCGGAGGTAATTGAAGGCGAGGTTGTGGAAATCCAAATTGACCGTCCGGCCACGGCTGGGGCTGCTTCCAAGACTGGGAAGCTCACGCTTAAGACTACGGATATGGAGACTGTGTATGACTTGGGGACGAAGATGATTGAGGCTCTCGGGAAGGAGAAGGTGCAGAGTGGAGATGTTATTGCCATTGACAAAGCCTCCGGGAAGATTACTAAGCTCGGGAGATCGTTCTCGAGGTCTAGGGACTACGATGCTGTGGGGGCACAAACCAAATTCGTGCAGTGCCCTGATGGGGAATTGCAGAAGAGGAAGGAGGTGGTGCATTGCGTCACACTCCATGAGATTGATGTCATTAATAGCAGGTAAACTTATTTCCTTGCAAATATTCAAGAAAGTGAATTGTTTTCCTTGTTTTCTTATACAAAGATAAGAAGTTTTATTGATGCTTTGATGCTTCCTTTCCATGTTTCTATGAATTTCTTGTATGGATTTCTCTTATATTTTTATCTCTGGGCACTTCATTTTGCTAACACAATATGCTTCTAGACTCCCATGGTTGGACCTAATTTCAAAAAGGCTTTAATTTATTCACACATTCATGAATGCATAGAACTGTCTTGCAGAAATATCTAATGCCTTTTGTAAGATTCTCACTTTCAATTGCTTTAGGGCGAAGAATATTATAGAGTAGTTGCATTGATGCTGAAAGTCTCGATCTGCATTTATAATATATTTTACCTTCACTGAATGGTATGGTTTAATCGTTCCTCTCTCGATTCTAGAACGCAGGGATTTCTGGCCCTTTTCACTGGCGATACTGGCGAAATTCGTGCTGAGGTGAGGGAACAGATAGATACAAAGGTTGCAGAGTGGAGGGAGGAAGGAAAGGCGGAGATTATCCCTGGTGTTCTCTTTATAGACGAAGTGCACATGCTTGACATCGAGTGCTTTTCGTTCCTGAACCGTGCTTTGGAGAATGACATGGCGCCTATATTGGTTGTTGCTACCAATAGAGGGATTACGACGATCAGAGGCACAAACTACAGGTCTCCTCACGGGATTCCTATTGATTTCCTTGACCGCTTGCTCATCATCTCCACACAACCTTACTCAGAAGAAGAAATCCGCAAGATTCTTGATATCAGAAGCCAAGAAGAGGATGTGGAGATGTCTGAAGACGCGAAAATACTGTTAACGAAGATTGGGGTCGATACATCTTTAAGGTACGCTATTCACCTAATTACTGCTGCTGCACTTGCTTGCCAAAAGCGTAAGGGAAAGATTGTGGAAATGGAAGATGTGCGTCGAGTTTATGAGCTCTTCTATGACGTGAAGAGATCAACGCAATACCTCATGGAATATCAAAGCCAGTTCATGTTCAGTGAAGTGGCAACAGGAGAGGCCTATGAAGAAGACGAAACTACTGCAATGGTCTCATAGCATAATTGCACACTTGTTTAAAATTGCCTCATTTTCATGCAAATACTCCTTGACTCCTTAGAATCTGTTTGTTATTAGATCTGGAACATTCAGGCCTAATATATGGGTTTCTTTTGTTTTGTATGATGCTATTCAAGGCTCAATTTGCTATATATTAGTGTTGGTCTTAACCACTTTGTCTTAGTATATTAAGCTATGGATTTGGGCAATATTGCAACTGGTCAATATAGGTATAACTTTTATTACATTATATTTGTAAAAATAGTTGGGACACTATTTTTCCTATCTATGTTACTTGTCCCAAATTTTTGCACCAAATATCATTAGTTAAAAGTGAATTATTCATAAGACTAGATTGTCTTCGACTAAGAAATTAAATAAAAAACTATTTCTCATACATAACGGACCAACCCACATCGCGCTATTGACCCAATAACACTAATACTCTTGATACAAGTTTGAGAATCGTGTCTCGTAATAAATTATGTAACAATAGAGTCTTGATATAAATGTTACAATGCACTTTTTTTTTTTTTTTGTTCCATAATTTTGTCATGCTCTAATTAGTTGTTAATCACATCAAAGCTTGCTAATCAATTTGCATCTTTACGACTCCATCCATAGAATTTGCTTTGAAAGCCTTTTTCCTTGGCTGCATCATAAATTGGCAAAAAAGCAATATTTGCAGATATTATTAGTAAAAAGATGGTATAAAAAGAGCAATTCAAGGAAAAGCCATTACTTGTGTAACTAAAATTAGACAGAACAAGTAAAGACAGGCGTAAAGCAATTAGATGTAACCATTCTCACCAAACCCCGCACCCAACATTCACTATGGTAGCAAATTAATAGTCTCACAAGTTTCAAACACTGTTTCAGAAAATGGGGAAAAGAGAAAATGATTTCTATCATATCACATGTCATGATTTTATTAATAAAAGGAAGTTGTGAGTTTAATAAAAATTATGACTCATTTTTTTTTAAATGAGTCATAACATGTTATGTAAATAATGAATAAAAAATATAGTACAAAAAAATACATGTAGGATTTCTCATCTCTTAGCTGCGCGAGCTTAGCTCAATGATTCAATAGTCAGTAATTAGGAGAAGAACCGAAGAGCAGTATTTGGGAAAAGAATCGAAGAAATCAACGTTTGAACTTGGGTGGCGATTAGGGATGGCAATTTCAATTCGACCCGTGGATATCCACCCGAATCCACCCCGCATGGATCGGGTTTTTTGGGTGATGGTGGGTGGTGGGTCGGGGTGGGTCTTAAAAAAGCAAACCCGCAGTGGGTCGGGTTGGATTCGGGTTCTATGTACAAGACCCGCCTAGAAACCCACCCGACCCACCATGTGTGTGTATATATATATATATAATAGTAAAATAAGTACTAGTATGTAGTTATTTATAAAAGTTTATATAACTCCGTGTATCTTTTTACTATTTTTTATATCAAAACTACTAAGTTTATTTTTAAAAATTAACAATTTAGTTATTATATTTAAATATTTCCATTATTTATATTTTAGTACCACTAATGGATTTTTTTTTTTAATTATGTGTAAATAATTTAAATATTATTTTTGGAAAAACATAATAAGATGATAAGTGGTGGGTACCCGTACCCAGTGGGGGTGGGTTTTGAAAAAGTCCACCAGATGCGGGTTGGAGGTGGGGGTGGGTGGAGAAAATATAAGGTGGGTCGGGTGATGGATGTAGCCCTCCCCGACCCACACCCGACCCATTGCCATCCCTAGTGGCGATAGTGTGAAGATTATGTTTAAAGTGGTTCAGTTTTTCTTGTCATTAAAACACAAAATTTAAAAAAATATAAGATTTTTTTGAAAAAAAATACAAAATACTCTTAATAATTCTCTGAATCAAACTAAACAACAGGAGGAAATTGGCGATCCGAACCTATACCGAATCTAAGAAAGTTTTTACAGTACAAACAAACATCATACGGAATCGCAATGTTTCTGGGAACGATCTATACAATCAAGCCGGAAAATCGAAACCTAAAGGAACAACAGAGGAAGTATCGAGCAAATCCTTGTGCATATAGCCATAGCGACGGAGCACCTGATTATCCGCAAAATTGAGGGCTTTATGCATGGAATCGACGCAGACCTCGCCGGAATACGCCTGATTACGGTCGCCGGTGCAGGGCTGACAGCCGGTGAAGTGAGTGATGAACGGTCGGCGCCAGCTGTACCTGCCGTATCCGGCGTCCTTCAGATGCTCCTCCCACGCCATAGCATAGCTCTCGCTCACCTTCTCCGCGTGCCGCCTTCTCAATTTGGGCTCCCGCTTCTCTATCTCCAGGTACCCGTCGGTGATGTTCTCCAGCTTCCCCACGATCTCCAGCCAATATCCCTCGAAGTAGTACTCGCTTTCCACGAAGATCTTCATTTTGTTCCCCCATTTTTGTTTCTCCTTTGAGATTAGATATATCAGACCTGACTGATCATCTGCCTCCGGGGTTTCCTGTAACAATTCTCGTTAATAAATAAGGTGTCCTATAAGGATAATACGGTAATACATAGAGCCTCTAAGCAAAATGGTCCTCCCACATCGAGTTGCTATGTATTACATTACCATTTAATAAGAGATAAAATGTTGGTCAAATTGATTTTTTCATACAAGAGGGGAGAGGGGATTCGAACACCTAATCAAACTAATTTTTGATCCCACAAGTTAGTATTAGCAAAATAAAATTTTAATTATTACCAATTTCTATCCATGACTATTATTTTCATGTAAAAATTGATCACGTCTGTTACCTCTTGGGTTAAAATATGCCGGATTGTGTAATTTGTAAAGATATTTTTGTCTAAAAATATGCCGGATTGTGTAATTTGTAAAGATATTTTTGTCTAAAATGTGTCAGATGGTGTAATTTGTAAGGGTATTTTCGTCAAAAATATGTTAATTTGTGTAATTTGTAAGGGTATTTTCGTCCAAAATATGTCAAATTGTGTAATTTGTAAGGGTATTTTCGTCCAAAATATGTTAGGTTGTGTAATTTGTAAGGGTATTTTCGTCCAAAATATGTCAAGTTGTGTAATTTGTAAGAGTATTTTCGTCCATTAAGGTATAATATGTCAATTTCATTAATGTATAAATTGACAAAAATACCCTCATAAATTACACATTTCAAACCTACTTTAACTAGATTAGAGGAGTGACCGATTGATCAACTTTAACACGAAAATAGGGGTATAGTAATTGAAAATGTGGATGACTAAAACCAAATTTGGTTTTTGTTCCCTTCTAATATTAGGATGGCAAAAACAATTATCAATTATGTTAGTATATTTAATTTGTATTTAACATTACCTTGTCGGGGAATGTGGTGTGGAGAGTTTTGCCCCAGTCATCGTACTCCGGCGACTGGGGACCCATGTTTGCCCACACGTCCATGAAGTCCATGGACCATTGGCAGTTGCGGATGAGGAAGACGCCGGCATTGACGCTGGTCCAGCTTTTCTCCACCAGGGTGAGCCACCCGTGGACTACTAGGTTATGGTTCTTGTAACGGTGGAGAGGGAGCTTGAAATCCATGTCGGTTATGGCGGCGTCGGAGTCGACCCACCAGATCCACTCCGCTTCCGGGTGGGCCAGCATGGCGGCGCGCACCGTCGGGACTTTTGCCCAGAACGAGAACATCACCGGCTGGAGAAGAACGTTGTTGTAGAAGAAATCGTAGCCGTGGATTCTGCAGTAATCCACCTTGTTCTTGAACAGCCGGAGCAGTAAATGATCCCCGATCGGGTTCCGGCACGGCGTCGCCTGAGACCCGGTCACCATCAAAATCCGGTTATCCGCGCCGGGAATAAACGAGGGGTGTTGCTCAAGCCACTCCTTTCTCTTCTCATCCCAATTTTTAATCGGCTTGTCAATCGTGTAGCTCAGTTTCGGGTCGTCGTAGAAATTTTTCTCCGGCGGGTCGTGAAGCCGGTCGAACCCCTGGCTCCCGTCGGAACATTCTTGCTTCTCCTCAACGCCGTTGAAAGCCGTGGACTTTCTCCCGGCGTCGAAATCGGAGCCAGAACCCGGCGTCAGAAAACTCATGAACGCCCAGAGGGCTAAGACACCCAGCACCGTCGCGCCGGCGAAGGCGAACCCATTGGAGAAGAACGTCGGCGGCGTTCTGCACCTGTGTGAAGCCATTGTGAGGAAACCCGGAAGAGAAGAGAGCACCATTTTATGGGCGCAAATTACCCATCATATCATTGGTAATATCGCCGGTGGGCGCCGGTAAGAGCCGTGTTTCTGAGAACTGCTATATTTGGAAAGGATTTTGGCGGAGAGTGAAAGAGACGACAAAAGGGAAGGTTGCAGAGAGGCATAAAACGCGGAATAATAAGAGCGAGGAAAGTAGGGAGCGTTGGTGAGTAAATAACGGTGGTGGAGATACAAAATTCTTCACTTTCTCCGCCGCCGGTGAGGCTTTTAACGTCATCTTTTCCAACAGTTTACGGTGAGGTGGGCCCGGTGTTTTGGTAGCGAAAGACATACACTTTACATCACTTGTGAGAACTCAATTTCATTTTCTCATGCGGGTAATATTTTTTCACTGCGCATTATATTTTTTTGTTTATTAAATTATATCACCATCTCATTTTATATATCTGGTTCAGTTAATGAGATTTGAGTGAAGTTATTTTTAATTTAATTTTTTTGTGATATTAAGTTTAATATTAGTACACAATATTTATATATTTAGAAACTATATTAAAAGTATTATTAAACACAAAAATCAAATTTAAAAATAAATAAAAATTACTAAAGAAAATAAACAAAGAAGAAATAGTTTGTTTGACCAATGGATATAGTAAGTATGTCAAATAAGATGAAACATATGGAGTATAAGTATTGTTGTAGATAGTTATGATCAAAAATAAAAATCATGTGCTAACAAATTTTATGTGAAAATGAATTAGGTCTTTTAGTGCGATTATTGATGACCAATGATTAGTAGTAAAATTTAGCTTCTTTTTTTTTTTTTTTTGAATAAGGTTCAAATTGGCCACTGAACGTAACCTGAAAATGCAATTAGGCCACTGAACGAAAAAAAAAAAAGTGCAATTAGGCCATTAAACACTCAAAAAATGTGCAATTAGGCCACTGAACTCTCCAAACGTATACAATTTTACCGGATAGCAGGTTACTATCAATTTTAGCAGGTTACCTGCTTACGTGGCAGCTTAGTTGGCATTTTTAATAATAAATTTTATAAAAAATTTGGAAAAAATTAAATAAAAAATAAAATAAAGTCGTTTTTATTTTTTTAAAAATTTTTTTAATAAAAAGTTATTATTAAAATTTATTAAAAATTAATTAAAATTTATTAAAAATGCCAACTCAGCTGCCACGTAAGCAGATAACCTGCTAAAATTGAGGGTAACCTGCTATCAGGTGAAATTGCACATTTTTGGAGTGTTCAGTGGTCTAATTGCACTTTTTTTTCATTCAGTGACCTAATTGCATTTTCAGGTTACGTTCAGTGGCCAATTTGAACCTTATTCCTTTTTTTTTCCCCCCTCATTTATGAATAGTGACATGATTATAATATATTTATTGATGTTCTCAAAAAGTAATTAAAAATTTATGCAATGAAATTACAACTTACAAAATTATAAATTTTTTATGTGTATATGATTGAGACCTTAATTGTCATGTGTGAACTATTCTTCTTGCAAACTCTCATTGATTTTTTGAAATATTAATTATTTTCTCAATAATATTGATTAGACAATAAAATTTGTATTTTTAAATTCTTAAAAAAATGTCTCATACTTAGTAGATCTACTTATATATAATAAAATGTACACTTTAATTAAAGCAATATATATATATATATATATATATATATATATATATATATATATATATATATATATATATATATATATATATATATATATATATATATATATGGAATATAAAAAATAAATTTTTTTCTACAATAAATATGATTTGATTAATGCAAAGTGTAATCTTAGAATTCTAGGATAACATTTATATTCTTTTAGAATGAAGATTCAAAAAATAATATTTTCTACTTTTTTTATTTGTTGAAGAAACAAATCAAATTTAATAAACCTTAATTATTATAAATTAATTCTTACCACAAGGAAGCTAGAAAAGGGTTGCAAAAAGAATAGAAAAAATTTAAAAAGATGTCACAAGTTCGTTTTTGTGTATACTAATTTAATTGTTATAATAATAATAATAATAATAATAATAATAATAATAATAATAATATTATTATTATTATTATTATTATTATTATTATTAAAAAATTATTGATGCACATATATTATTATATTAATTATCGACATATAAATGTACCTATGATATTATCTTTTTATGAAATCTACTTCAAAAATATTGTGTAAATATAATTTGTTGAAAAGAATATATACAATATTTTTTTAAAATACAAAATTTTAATTTTATTATTAATATATTGACAGTGAAAATCACTTCAATTCATCATTTATATATTTTAAATATAAAATTATATAAAACATTGTAGAGAATGAATGAATATTGGAGATGCTCTAAGGAATACAGAAATTTAACATGAAAATCATACATTTTTGGGTCAAATCAAATCAGATTTTTACTATAAAAAGTGATTTACATGTACCGAACATGATGACAGCCATGATCATGAAAAGAAAGGGAAAGAAATTGTATTTACTAACTATAGAAACAAGTCTGTTTTCTAGAAAAATAGCAAATCTACTTTTAAAACTTGTTAATAAAAACTTGTTAAAGTAGTTCTCTATTTTTATTTTTAGTCTTTTTCCATTTTCTAAGTTGGAAAAATAGCTGAGAAGAAATATTCTCTATTTCCTTTTTTTTTTTCTTTGAGAAGAAAAAAAAAAAAGGAAATAGAGAATATTTCTTCTCAGCTATTTTTCCAACTTAGAAAATGGAAAAAGACTAAAAATAAAAATAGAGAACTACTTTAACAAGTTTTAAAAATAGAGAACTACTTTAACAAGTTTAGCAGCAGAAATTTATTTCTTGGTTTTGGCCAACAATATTTTATGCTTACTTGTTTTTCTTTTTTCTTTCTTTCTTTCTTCTTTTATCCCTACTTTCCTCCATCTTTTCTTTATTTCATTTCGTTTTTATTTCCAAGTGTAGGTTCAATTCTATTAGGGGGTGTTTTTGGTTGCCTGGTTAGATGGAAAACAATTTACATGAAAAATGTTTTCATAAAAGGAGAGGAAATTGTTGATTTCTGTTCTTTGGTTCATGGAATTCAATTTCCTTTAGAAAAGAAATTCTTAAAAGTGGAGGAAAACAAATTCTTTGTACAAGGGTGGTATTTTGTTTTGATATAACATGATTGGACTATTATACCCTTATGAAATTTTCTTAATTACATAGGTATAATTTAATATCATTATTATTGTTAGGGGCACCCCTTAATCTTTATATTTATATATAATTCCTTACCATTCCAAACCCAACCAAATAAAGGAATTCATATTATCAATAATTTATTTTCCACCAACAAAACGATGGAACTCATATTCCTAAATCCTAATACTTTATTTTTCATGGAATTTCAATTCTATTTCCCCTCAAATATTTTTCGTGAAACAAACAGACCGTTAGAGATGGACCAACATGGACCCTAATAATAATATATGAACAAATTAAATATAATAACAAATAAATAAATTGAAACAAACAATTTTTTTCGTGAAAACCACTGGCTATTTTTTTATTTTTTATTTTTTTGTAATTCTATTTTTTTTTTCTCTTGAGAACTTACAAGTACACAAGATTTATAATCCAAAATAACATAAAAATACACTAATAATTTGTAAACATGCATAATGGAAATAGAGAGAAAGGAAATACAACTTTATCATTAAAATGAAAATAACATCTTAAGGGTTGGGGTTCAGCCTTTTGGAAGAATGAAAATAACATCTTAAAATTCAAAGATTTACAAGCTTCCAAAATATTAAAGGGATCCTTTTTTTTTTTTTTTTTTTTTTTAATGCTACTAACTCTATTACACCAAAGAGTCAATAACGCTTCTACTAAGGCTTGAATTCAAAATCTCCAATATGAAAGTCCAATCCAAGTGCCATTAAACCACAAGGTCTTAGCAAATATTAAAGGAATCTAAATCTAAGCACAATCTAAACTAATAATATGTAAATGGCGAGGGTTCATTTAAGGATTGAAACCACTAAAAAAAAATGTTGTATAGAGTACGTGTGGATTGGCATAGAAATGGCCTAGTACGCGGAAGTTCCAATCTAACACAAAACCTAGTCTCTACTTTATGCTTTTTTTTGCCACTAAATTTCACATCAGCCACAATTGCAAGAGTTGCATGTGTAGTTGTCCCCGCATTTACACACATACTCAAATGTGGCCTCACTCATCACAGATCCCTCGAACTCGCTGCAAAACACAAACAATTCATTAACCACTGAAATCATTAATCCCTACTAAAAAAAATATATTTGTAAATTTATCTTCAATTTCCACTTTATCATTGGATCATCCAGAAAAGAGAATGAAATCATGGTAAAGAAGGCAAAAGAGCACACACAGATCAAAGAAGAGGAAAATGACGGAAAATGAAGCAGAGGAAAATGTAGAATTATGATTGGGATCACCCAAAAAAAAAATGAATGAGAACACACAGATCGAAGAAGAGGAAAATGAAGAATTAAGATTGGGATCACCCAAAAAAGCGAACAAAACCAATATAAAGAAGGTAAAAGAACACACAGATTGAAAAAAAAAAAAAAGGAAATGAACAGAAAATGAAGAAGAGGAAAATGAAGAATTATGATTTCTTTAGTCACCAATCCATTGTATTTATATGTGAAAAATGTGAAAATTATAAATTTGTATAATTTTTCAAAATGAAAGTGTGATCATTTATTTAAGGTCTTTAAATACTAATCCTAAATAAGCTTTTGTCCAATGATGCTGATATTACTAAATTGTCCATGAATTTGGACGGAAAAATCTTATAAACACTTAAGTTATTATATAGATATAGATATAGATGGACTTGACGCTTTGATACTCCAAACAATATTTGACCCTACATTCATCTAAAATTATAATAACTGAAATAATAACCATACATCAATAAAATATTCATAACAATATAAACATTATATTATTCCCTTTGTTTGTTAAAATGGTTCAATTGGTGGTCCAAAAAAACAATAGCTTTGTTACCTAGAGTCCTACAGTACCCTTTAAATACAATATAAAAATAATAAAATATTTATTACTTATTTAATGAAAAAAAATTGAAAATACATCACTTAATTAATATTAAATAAAGGCCCTGTTTGGTAAAAAATTGGCTTATAGGTCAATTTTAGCTTATTTGACCACTATTAATTGTTTGATTTATTGATTTAGTTAAAACATTAATATAAATGTTTGGTTAATTAACTTTTTGCAACTC